AATCTGTGCAGCCATACGATGACCCTAGATATCACATAATGGTAAACGAATTACATATATATGTTATAAAATAAAAATACAACAAATAGTCTAAAATACAAAATAAACCAAAAAAGATTGATAGTAAATTTTAAAAAATTACTTCCTCATCATGGAAGACGATTTCCAGCACGTTCTTGAATTTGGCATCAAATTTATGATCAAATACTCTCACAACCCTTAGTTTTAAATAAGGTTTGTCAGTACGGTTCACAGATTTGAGAGCCCCCCCACACAAGCGGCATTTTGAAACTATTAAAAAATGTAATGTAATAGGAGGGTGGAATAAGAATGTGAAACTCGACGATATAGTGTGTATTATATACGTGGTATAATTACCCTTTTTATAGAATTGAAAACGGGTCAATAAGAACCGTGAATATGGGTAACCTTTATCTCTTATTGTATATGGATGATCTTTATCTCATTAGGTAACTAAATAATCATTTGTAAACCCTTTACGTACAAATATTCTGCCAATAAGAACCGTGAATATGGGTGATCTTTAACACATATTGTATATGGATGATCTTTATCTCATTAGGTAACTAAATAATAATTTGTAAATAATATTACATACAAATATTTGGCCGAAATAGGAATATGGGTGATCTTTATCACATATTGTATATGGATGATCTTTATCTCATTAGGTAACTAAATAATAATTTGTATATAATTTACATACAAATATTCGGTCGAAATAGATTTTATTGGAAGTAATTATTTAAATATTGTTATTGGTATTTAATTCATAATTTCAAAAAGTTCAAGATATGTTTTAAATTAATAGTACTCATCTCATAGAATCGTATAGTATGAATTAGTTAATTTGAGATGTGGTCAAAATATATTAGTACTTATCGCATAACCCATAATAGTAGGCACGTAGAATTGAAAAAATTCAATAAGAGCCCTGAGGTACATAAATTTTTAGATTTCTTTATTCAATTGTGTACTTATCTCATATTTAAATTCCAATTGTATAACACAAAATCCGGTCACATAAGAAATCTAGAAGTAAATCAACTATATAATAATATAGATTGGGTATTTAATTAGATAATGCACGTGCTATTATCTAATAGTTTGTTATATATCAATCGGATAATCATTCAAAATATTTAGATATCTTTATTCAATTAAAGAGATTCCATAACTTCCGATTTTGTATTCTATTTATGACTATCAATTGTTAAATAATTCGAATCAAAGCATCTCTATAAAAACATACAAATTTTATATTTAAAAAATATGAAAGAATTTAGTTCAATTGCAAATATCAATATAAAAACGAACAATTGAATAACCAAATGTCATAGAGATTGAAGTAACCAGAAAATAAAAAAAAATCACAAGTATTAATATATTCGAAAAGAACATCACAAAAGCGAAAAACCACACAACTAATTATTTATTCCCAACATCCACTTTCTCACTCGACATCAGTGATATCAAGATCTTCAATTTGGCTCTCCAATGAAATCTTGCTGTTGGAACAATACATCGACGTCTTGTACCATTTGCTATTTAAAAATCTACAAATTAAATTATAAAATATGTTGAAAATTACAAAATTACATAATTATCAATTTGATAGTTGAAAATTTATACTTCAAATTATACAATATATATACATCACGAAAAGTACACATATTGCAATTGTTGGAGAAAACTTTCTTCTCCCGAAAATCTATTATTTCCGGGATATTAGCCGCAATAAGACGCGTGACATTTTGGAATGTAGTCAATTGATATTCACCTATTGAAAAACCATATTTATTAAAATGTAATTTAAAATATATTCGCAAAACATAATTTATATGGTATTGTTAAATAAATAAATTGCAAATTTGAAATACCTGTCACATGTATTGTCTTGCACAATTGCATAATGAGAACCCATGGTTCTCCATTTGCCTCAGATTCAAAATGATTTTCATAAGCAATAAACGTATCAACATAATCACCCCAAAGTGTGCAACCCATCAGTAATCCACTATTTAATGAAAAAACATATTAGATTTCAATCGACATTATTATAAATGTTTAATGCATGTAATAAATATTACTTACTCCAAATCCATCATTGAAAAAACTATCTTTTGCTTTTCTTTTTCATGAATCCATTCTGAATGTATGGGTTGCACCTCGACCACCATGCCAATAGCATCTAAAATATATTTACAAAAAATAAATATCATTTTATTAATTAATATATGAATAATAAAAAAATAAAATTACAACAAAATTCGAATAAAAAAAATTTAAAATTTTTACCATAAAGAATTGAGTCATCAACGATGTCAATATCATGAAAATTCACAAAACTATAGAAGTCAAATGGCTATGTAGGGAAATCAGAAAGCATCTGAAGAACCTCAGTGTCCCCATGGATTACGACTTTGTAGCCTCCATTAGTAGATCGAAATTTATCAACGTTGATGTCTAGTAAATAGTTGCTTATTAAATACACTCCACCCTCCTCGAAAGCTCCAACAAATACTGGCATACCACGAACAATGCCAGTTATACGGCTCCCCTAACAAACAAAGAAAAAATGTTATTGAGATATAAAATTAATCGATAATAGCAAAACAAATTTAATGCACTAAAATAACCTCCATATCTTGAAAAACCATCTCTAAATTAGTTGGGTAGGCTCTGTTGAATATCCGAATGGCCCTAAGCTTAAGAACGAAGTTCATATTCATCATATTCAATTTGAACTGTCTGATCAAGCCATATTGTTCCATGACTTTTTTTTTCTTTCTTTTATCGCTAAAAGTCGGGAATAATTTTTTCACGAATTTGATCAGATTGAATGAATGAGTCTTTTGTTTTTTTGGTTATTTATTTATAGTGGTAATAGAGTTTGGAAAAATCGAAATTACTAATATAATATTATATAAATTATTTGTGAATCAGATTTGTATTGCACGTTTTATGGACACTTTCACATATATCCGTTTTAAAAAAAATAAATATTTGGTTTTAATATTTAATTAAAAATGAAAGAGATATTTTATCAATCTCTTTTTGCATATATCCGTTAAATTAAGAATATTGACGATTTGGGTAATCAATAAATTAGTTTTTAATTGTAATATTAATATAGCGTAATATCAATAAAAATCCGATCAATTATATTAGCACGATCTTTGAAATATTTTACGGATTATATTAATTATTCAATATTTAGTACAAAAATTTAAAGTACATTTTTTGTAATTTACATATTATGGGAGTAGTTCTATTAGGAAGTTGTTATGGTAAGTTGTTACAATATATATCTCAATATATATTCATGTTATATATAAACTTCCTAGTGGAGAAAATAAAGTGTAGTAAAATGTATATTATAATTAAAAATTGAAATCGAAGAATAATTAAAAAAAAAATTTATTCATAATATCGCAATATATATTAATGTTTATTAAAACAGAATAGATGAACATAAAACTATGTTTATTTTGTGAGTGATTTAAAAATGGGCCACAGTTATTATGTAATCAAGTATATGTCAATTGATTATATTCATTTTATTTCATTATTTGGAATTTTGTTTTAATATATAAACTTCCTAGTGGAGAAAATAAAGTGTAGTAAAATGTATATTATAATTAAAAATTGAAATCGAAGAATAATTAAAAAAATAAATTTATTCATAACATCGCACAGGTAAATCTCATCAAATCCGAAACTAACCATTAATTAAAAACCCGAAATATCAACAAAACCTAAATATCAAAATCACTTGGTCCTTGCTAATGATGAGGGAAAGCTCCATTATACTTGATTAAATCGGTTCTTACATGTAGCACAAGCTTCCATCTGTGCATTCTAGCAAATTTCATCCCATTATTAAATTCAACACACTATAGCGGCGTATCACATAAACATCGCCTTCTTTCAATACATCTCGCATCAATCCCACATTCGGAGAGCGTATTATGCCTTTAACGCATGAACCCTACAATAGAAATTGATACAAATTAAGTAAAATAATTTTGTACTTATGTATTTTTTATATAACATCAAAAAATATTACCTCTTCATCATGAAACAGGATATGGAAACAGTTCAAGCTCTCATGATCATGATGCGTTTCAATAAGTCTGGACTACCCTAAGAAGCAAATTTGGTTTGTTGGACCTGGTGACGGAGTTGATTGTATCAAAGAATGGCGGCATTTTTTTCTGTGTGTATTGAAATTTGTTTGTATTATTTTCTCTGCAATGTTGTGAAGGAAGTGATAAAGAAAAGTGGCATATTAACACCCTTTTATACACATGATAGATCTGCACAACAACCTTATCACGTAAAATATGGAAATCTTTTATTAAGATAATATTCCTTAATTTTTTTAAAATAAAAAAACGGTGATTTTGTTAAGATATTAAATTGATCTTGATTAATTTGTAACTACCGCCGCTTATTAGGAATTATTGTTGATTTTTGTACGTAAATAATGGAATCAAAATTCCAGATCTTTGGGTTTTTAAATATAGAATCACAATTTCAAATTGGTTGATTTTTAAGAGACGCGTGATTCATAAATTAAGGAGTAACAAATTGAGTATAAACCGATTTTACACGCCCAAAATGAAAAAGAAAATCAAAAATAATTTTTAAAATTGGTTATCATATTAAGTAAGTTAAATTGTTTGACTGTAAGTTTAAAATTTCCCAAAAGAATTTTTCTACCTCTCTTTAAGATATAGATATAGATTTATTAATTTGGGGATATGTCTTGTGAGGAAATCATCCAATCCAACTCTCTCGACGAGGTTAGGGAATTTGCCGGAATCACTATCCTCCCCATTAGGGCATCGCATCGCATCATCTTTTTCAACGGCATATAAAAGATCCAATTCGATATCCAGTCCTCAATCTTACGATCAATTACTTTTTCGAGTCTCGTAATACACTCCAAATCTCTGTATCAATAATCCCTCAAGATGCCGGCCACCGCTGGGAGGGTTCGCATGCCAGCGAACAATCGGGTCCACAGCAGCGCCGCCCTGCAGACCCACGGGATATGGCAGAGCGCGATCGGCTACGATCCCTACGCGCCCAACAAGGACGAGAAGAAGAACAACTCCACCCAAAAGACCTCATCCTCAGTCGCCGAGCCCGATCCCGAGCCCGAGAACGCCTACGCCAGCTTCCAGGGCCTGCTCGCACTGGCGCGCATCACCGGATCTAACGCCGACGAGGCCCGTGGCGCGTGCAAGAAGTGCGGGCGCGTGGGGCACCTAACGTTCCAGTGTAGAAACTTCCTGAGCATCAAGGACGAAGCCGATAGGGAAGGAAAGGACCCGAATTCCATCCAGGCCGCCGTCTTATCTGGCCTGGAGAAGCTAAAGGGGGAGAGAGTGAGGTCAAAGGGGAAAACTTCCTTGGAAAGCGAAGAAAGCAGTGACGAGGAGGAGGAAGACAGCGAGAGTTCTGATTCGGATTACGATTCCGAGATTGAGAGGGCCATAGCTGAGAAGTATGGGAAAAGGGTCAGCAGTAAGAAGGGTGGAAAGAAGGAGAGGAGAGAGAGAGGGAGGTCCAAGAAGAGGAGTGGTACAAAGAGAGAGAAAGTCAATGGCTCGTCTGACGAGGAAGAAGGGAGACGCAAGAGGAAGAAAGATGATAAAAGGAGGAGAAGTGATGATTATTCTTCGGATGAGGATGAGGAGCGTAAGAGGAGAAGAAGAAAGAGCAGGAAGGAGAAAAGGAGGAGAAGGAGCCATAGGTACACGGATGATGAATCTTCGGATGATTCTATCAAACAGAGGAATAAGAGGAGGAGCCGAAGAGCCCACTCAGATTCTGATGCGAGTGGCTCGGATGATGACTCAAGAGTTGGGAGGGACAAGAAGAGGTCCGGAAAGAAGAAAAGGGGCCATAGATGTGATGAGGATTAGGTTATCACGAGAAGAGGTCACGTGAAAATTGTTCTAAAAACATTTGCTGTGTGATTTATCTTGTATTTGGCTGATGAGCTTTCTTGATGGAAGATAAATTTAAGTTTGATGAGCTATTGAGCTGTGTAGTTCTTGTTGGTTTGGGTCGTATTTTGTCATTTTCGGTTGTCATCTTGTTTCTGATGTAGTGTGTTGTTGTGGTTGTGAGAACTCATTTTCTGTTTTTCTTTCAGTATGCTACTGCTGCGTATTAATAATATTATTGTTGTTTCTCCTTGTGTTTCAATTATTCTTTACTTTAAGTAGAGCTATTGAGTAAGCTCATGAACATTGTTATTCACGATTCTTGATGTGTTTGTAACATCAAGGAGAAGTGGATAGTCATCTGGCTCTATTTGTTATGAAAGTTGCTATAAACTCAAGTTTTTCTATGTTGTGTTTTGTTGATTCAGTTTGATGAAGTTATTGGTGGGAACGTCTATTTCTTTTCTTGGATTGTTTTTGCTTTCACCTCATGTCTCGCTGCTGTTATTCTGCTGGATTGTAAGAACACTGGTCCGTAGATATCTTTACCAAAGTGAACATATTGATTCTTCTGTTGCTGCAAGCTCATGTCTTGGTTATTGAATTAGGAGGGTTATATAATTTATATCCTTGACAAACTGTTGATTGGTAAACACTAGCATGCTCCTCGAATGATATAAAGGAGAAAGGACAGTATTTTCTCAGTTTCAGTGAGGGTAATTGAGTTTCTTTTATATTCAAGGTTTTTTTTTTCTTTCCAACTTGTAAGTTACACACTCGAACAGAAGTTGAAACCACTGGGTAATGGCAGGCCGTGACACTGTAATGCTACATGTTTAAATATACTTGCAGTTGAGAAAATACACGACTTGAAATTCGCTTCAAAAAATTCTAGACATACAAAATTACAACCCTTAACTTTAACATCAAAATCTAAAAAAAAAAAATTGCCAACAAATATCACATCCAGTTAAAGATACCAAAGCCCTCTCTTGTAGCAGGCCACACCCCAATTCCATATGTACAGTACAGGCCCCATTTTCTTACAGACAAAAAACTATTTTCCATCTCCCCTCTTTTACCTTTTTCTGGCCATACATACATGTCTCACCCTCACTGAAACCAATCACAAAAGAACCATGGGTCAATAACAGAACACACATCAGTCAAGACCACAGAATAAAAATAAATAAAAAAAGATATTTGAGCCTCCAATTCTTCCCAGATGGCATTTTATTTAGCACTGATCCTTAGGGGCACAAAAACTGGCTCATTGCTTGCGGCTTTGGCCGTGGCTATTTCCTCAAGGTGTTTCCAGGTGGACTCTCGTTTGGCCTTGATTTCCTGTTCTTGGGCTTCATCTTCTTGAAACTTTAGTAGGCACTCTTGTAATAGGTCAGGGTCCACATCAGAGAATATCTTGCGAACATTAAGGGTCAGACTCTGGACTGCCTGATTCCAGTGGGCCCGCGCGTTTTTCTCTAGTGAGGGGAAGATTATTGGGAGTATGACCTTACGGTTTTGTTTGATGAGGTTCTCTATGTGGTCATTGTTCCATAAGAAAAGGGCTCTTTCTGCCACCTGTAAAAGGAATTCAATAATCACTTTTTTTCGAATTGAACTGACAAGGCTAAACGATTAGATATTTTTACCATCAGAAATAATAATTGAAATTTACTACAAGTTCACTGTGGATATCCTGTTTCCTAATAATCATGAGATCTTCAGCTCAATTAAGAAAAGATGAAACAGAACGCGTGCAAGGATTACAACTTCATTACAGTGTCTAGCTGCAGATTGCCTGATATGAAAGTTGCAGTAATCTACGCAAAAAAATATTTTTCCATTTGAAACTTTCCCTATTAGGATAACATATAATACAAAAATCCCATGAGATAAGCAGCAAGACACAGTCATAAAGTCAAATAGAATAACGATGGGCGACAGCAGACAGAAATGGGTCAATCGACTTGGCCACGAGGCCAGAGTGAAGCAATATCTAGTAAAAATGGTGGATTTCAGACAAAGTATAATTAAACAGATTTTCTAATGACTGTCGAAAATGGTCCTCTCCGTACACAGAAAAGACTAGAGCTTTTTGTCTCTTTCTTAGAAAACAAAGAAATCAAAGTTTGACCTACTTGAATGCAATCAATCAACTATGAAGCCACAAATATTCGACACGTCTACATCATAGGACTTCAATATATCAAGAACGCCACCAAAATAAGCCTCTCATTTTTTTTCTCCATGTAGTCATTAAAAGAAGAAATTGAAATAGAACACACAATACCTAAGAACGATCAGGATTTCTCCTGCTTACTACATAAATACAAAACCAAATAAAGGTTTGGAAGCCAAAAACCCGGTCCATCAACTTATTCTAGCCCTAAACAGATAACTTAAACAAAATATGGTAATTAGAACTAGATACATATAATAAACAG